TCCACACCCTGATCTGAAGGCCTGGCGTTTCTCGTTCAGTCACAAGAAATATGACCAAACAGAGGAGGGCGGGTGTGTGTTTTTTTTTTTTTTGACATGATGGGTTACTATGATTTCTCCTTTCCCCCCCCCCACCTTTTCCAATCTGCATCGTAACCTAAAATGGGTGGTAAGTGCGAGATCCCGTGCATGCCTCTGCAGTTTGTCTTCCAATCAGCTGCTTCTTCTCTATAGTCCATCCAGACCATGATGTTTATTTGGATATAAAAATGAAAAATAGTGTTTCTTATGCTGTTGATTGTGTGTTAAACCTCATACTTTTCCATGCACCCATGGCTGGTACTGGACATAAGCCTCCCATCTCAAAGTCTGAATATCCCTCCCATTTGCTTCATTTAAATTACAGTATTTTATTTATTTATTTGTTTGTGATGTGTTTTTTTTTTCCCCCTGAGATGGTTCTGGGAGGTCAGAATTCAGTTTTTACCAGGAAGCTGGTTGTTGAGCACTGAAAATTATTGTTCTGTTTAACACAAGCTTTATTATTTTGCTGGCTTAGAAATCAGATGACGGTTAAGTCACACAAGACCAAAAACCTAAGGCAGTCTGATATGAAGGCACATTTTTAGACCATGGCAAATTTCAGACCATGGCAAGGTGTCATGGTGATTGGCAAATCTACTTGGATAAGGTATGAGAGCAATTAGGAGAGCCTGAAGCATGCTCTGTTCACTGCACGGTCGAGGAGTGGACATTAACTATAGCAGGTAATGTCTACCAAAGCATGGACTGTCATCTACAATAGGATGGAACATCTACCAAGGGAAGATATGTCAACTATCATAGGAGGGAACAGAATGTATTATAGGAAGGAATGTCTACCGTAACAGGGAGTGTTATCTACCATGCTAGGCAGCATCAGCTATCGTTGGTGGGGTGCTCTACCATGAAATCTAAAACAAGAGTTTTCGACCTGTGCTCTTGAAAGTCATAGGTTCTGCTTAGTCATGCTTAATTTCTTTATTTCAGTTTTTAATTAGTGTTTTAGTTGTCAGTCAGGTGGAAACTGAAACATCTCTAAAAGCTGCAGAAATCAGGCCCCCAAGGACCATGGTCAGGTACCCTGTTCTCAGATGATGTTTTTGTTGCATTCGGCTTTTTGCATGTGTCTACAAACAGCCTCGAGCTCAGCTGGCCCTGCCTGCAGTGATGCACTGTGGTTCACACAGGGTGCATGTGTTTGGGGAGAGGAGTAGATTAGGACCAAGAGGAAATTATGTCCCGTGGGGTCTTGTCAACAGAGCTGGAGATATAAACACATATCTGAAGACTGTGTCTAGACTGTTTTAATCCTTGTTCTAATTTCTTATATATGTACAGTTATGGGTCTTTTCTTTCTTATGTGGTTCTTGAACCACAAGAATGAGGATGGTGACCAGCCAGGGATCCGCTCTGAATCGTTGCTTTTTACACCACAGCTGCTTCTTTGTGTTGTGTTTTCAGTTTCCATAACAGAAACTCGTTTAACACAGCCTCGTTTGCTGCTACTAAATTATTTTTACAATGCAGTTTTTTTTTTTGTTATATCGAGTGATTCATCTTCAAGATTTTGTGGGTGTGTTCATTTTGTTTCCTGGATCCGTCATGCGTGCATATGTGTTTGCTCTGGTTTCTGATTTTGATCTTGTCAGACATGCTGTTTCCTATTTTTTATTTGCCTGGCCAGTGTGCCCTGTCAGCTGCTGTGACCTCTGGCATGGCGGCATGGGGGGGTTCTTGGTCTCTGCCTTAGGCCATCCCTGCCTCTGGACCTCTGCTGCTCCGCACCGTTCCCTCCATGCCCTTTGAACACCACTGGAATCCCGCTATCCTCAGCCCTCAGGCTGCTGCAAAACAAAACACCCCCCCGGCCTGGCTGCCGAGGTTTTCAGATCTGCACCCACAACCCGCTAACATGACCTTTACGGCAGATGGGTGCCATAGTCTGTAACCTACAGATACAGTCACCTGTCATGTTAATGCTTTATTTATGTAAAGTTTATTTTAAATCATTTGGCTCATGAAGCCCCACAAAGACCTGGATCCTGCATATCAGGTAGCAAATTAACTCTAAATTAGCTCATCTCTGCTAAATACGCTCAGTTCAGTCAGTTATGGACAATTAGCATGATCCAATTAGCAGCATGACCATTTCACCTGAAAGGTTACGTGCTTGCTGAGGCCTGGAGGCTGAAGTCAGCAGGATTCCACGCTCGAGGTGTTTGTTCACGGCCGACTTACTCTCCAGCGACTGAACTGCAGACACTTGGGGTGGGAATGAACAGGATCATTGTAATCCTGAGTTATCCTAAGGAAGGGAAGATGCCTTGCATCCCCATCCACCGCAGCATGACGCGCTGCCCATTGTCAGTGTTCAGTACAGTCATGTAACAGCCACGCATTGCTTTTCTTTAATGAAACTGCATTAGCTTAATTTAAGAGAACAAAACTAACACATTAAAAAAGATTCCAGTACTGGCATAATTTCTGTGTGTGCAGGATGTTGCTTTAACTGGTTAGTCTGATGATGTCTAACTTGGTTTCTTTCGTATTTTTTTCTCCTCCTTCGCCCTTCCTCCTGAAGATGACGAGCCAGCTGGACCAATGTAAGAATCACATTTAATGAACATCCTTTTCAGAAATGCTCATAGTCAGATTCATAATGAGCGTCTGCTTCACAGCTTGTTTGATAGCTGTATCAGGCCTTCTCTTCTCTAACGGCGATTCCATGAAAACAGATGAGCCTTGTTTTTTGCTTTAGGTAGCATCACAGTGAAATGCTGTTATCTCAGCTTGTACGCTTCAAGATCTAAATACAAGCAATAGAAGTTAGGCCCTGAAATCCTTGGTGGGTGGGTTAAGTATGTACCGACAGTTAACACCTAGTTTGACCAAATGGCAAATAGATTGTCTGTAATTGACAGCGCTCGATAATCCCTGCTACCAGACTCATTCTTCACATCACTGCACCCAAAAGATGACAGCATCATTCATGTCCAAGTCTCAGAGAGAGTGTCTTTGTCAAATCTGATGTTCCTCTTTGTTACACCAATGAAAGTCTTAATTTTGTTGCTTCTAATATGTCAGAAATATCCCCAGATGTCTCTGCTTACCGTTACATTACAATGGAGCTATAAACATGTTTATTATCTGCTGTAATCTCTACATTAAAAAAGTAACTTAAACAGTCACACATCTGTGCAATGGCAGTATTTCTCGAGTAACAGAAAAAAACCCCATCAGATTAGGCTTTCAGAGCGATAGACTATTGTGGCGCAGTGATTGGCATTGTTGCCTCACACCCCTAGGACTGGGGTTTGTGTCTCTGTGTGGGTGGAGTTTACATAATCTCCCTGTATCGTCGTAAATTAGAGTTGCTTAATTTTCCGTAGGTGTCAATGTATGTGTGTGCCCTGCGATGGGCTGGCCCCCCATCCTGGGTTGTTCCCTGCCTCGTGCCCGTTGCTTCTGGGATAGGCTCCGGACCCCCCGCGACCCAGTAGGATAAGCGGGTTGGACAATGGATGGATGGATAATAACAATGAAAATTATATAGTAATGATAAAAGTAATGACAGGTGGTACTGTTCTGTGCCCTGAGCTGATGAACAGCTGAAGCTACACAATGTTTTCATGAGCGTCGCAGAGTTGCATTTAACCCGGATTTTTTATATAATACACTTTTTCTGTTAGAAAGTACGAGTTGTCTGTAAGTTGGACGCTCCTAACCCGGGCACTGCGTGTAAACAGCAGATTTGGTGTGTTATTGTGTATTTACATCAATGTAATATTTTGGAAACACTATAAGCACAGAATAGAGGTCCTATCCTGTTTCCTCCCACTGAGCCTGCCAGGGTGCCTTGTGTGGTTCATTTATTTATTAGGCTTGTGCCCTGGCAGCCTTCGAGTGCAAACAGGCCTTTATTCCGTATGGGGCTGCTCTCAGAGGCAGGGACGTCGCGCGTGTCCTTGGAAGCCAATGGCCTGAGGTGACTGTGCCAATGCTCTCCTTCCACCAGGAAAACCAACTCCACAAACAACCATAAGGACAAAAACCTACGTCAGAGGACCACCAACTGAGCAGACTGGTGCCCCCCGAGTGAGTACTGCGGGGGCTCATGGGGAAAGGCACCTTGGAGCACGCATGCACATTCATTCTGCCCCGCCCTCGAGGAGGGGGGGGGGGTGACACCGGCCGCAGCAGGTCACTCCTCACGTAGGTCGCAGAGCTCTCTGTTGTTTTTCCTTTTCAGACGACCAAAAGCATCTCCTGACCACAGGAAGGTAACTGAGGAAGCATCGGCAGGTTGTTTTTAGCAGAGCATATATGGGCTCATTAACAGGGCAACTATATAGCATCAAGACATTGACAGAGGACAACAAAATGGGTCATAAGCATGCCTTGCTCAGTCTTCTGGGGCAGCGGGAATGGAGATGACTGAGTCCTTTATGAAGGTGTACACTTTTGTGCTGTGTGCTGTTGATTGGTGTTGCTTTTTTTAATTTATTCTCCTTTCCCCTCAGGCAGAGAGTATTTTTCATTTTACATAACTGTCTAATGCATGCAAAAGTCTCACCTTACTGTACAACTTTTTTTTTTTTTTCTCGGATGGCTTTGCGTCCAACTGAATTGTTTGTATTTTTTAAACTCTTTAAAACTTACTTTCGAAAGAAACCGGCAAAAAAATACATATACCTACATATATATTGTTCCACTGCATAAAATTTGACAGAAGCGTCAAATCTTAAAAGATAATTTAAGGTTAAGTTACAACATAAGGATGTCACCATGTCCAGTATTTAACCAAGAGAAAATAATGAAAATATTTATTACTGTAATATTTATCCAACTTAAGAAGAAAAAAAATTCTATGTTTTACTATTTTCTATAGTTAGATGTCCTGTATATGTTGCAATGGAGTGTTAAAAATTACAGATTATAGCAAACATGTATAAACTTCATTTTGTAATGCACATTCCTTACTTCATTTAATTTAATGGAAATATTTACCGTACAGCATGGCTACTATCCTATGCAATATTATTCCTATAGAGATACAGAACCTTGAGGTGAGAGCTGTTAGGATTGTCTCATGACGATGGAGCTTTAATGTTGTGGGATAAACTTTTTACTGAGCTGGTGTAACAGACTGCACTGCTGTAGCTGCATGACTCCTTTGAAGTACAGTACCCATGTTTGTTGCAGTGCTGCCGGGCCTTTGGGAGGGAGGAAGACAGACAGGGGGGGCGGGTAACTTATCATTTATGAAACATGTGAAGCGGAACATTTTTAAGAAATAAAAGCCTCTGAACATATGACGTTTGGTACTTTCTGAACGAGCTTGTTAAACGTCCAGCAGGCGGACTGCACCGCTCGGACACCAGGTGGAGCTGTTGCTCGCCGCCAATGAGGCGCCCATCCTGTTGCCCCACTCTCAGTCATCGGTGGGCCAGCCCCGTCAGCTCAGCCTCCACCTGCTCCACCCAGGCGGGGAAGCTGCAGTCGAGCAGGCACAGGCGCAGCAGGGGCCCCAGGCTGACGCTGGGCAGGGCCTGCTGACGATACGCCATGGGTAGGGAGACTCCCGCCTGGCCCAGGAAGCACTGAGGAGACAAGCAGGTGAAACATGCGTCCTGAGCTCACGTGCCAGTCCGACGAGAGGAGGCAAAGGCGCCTGAAGATGGTGGCTACGCCGTGCAGGGAACCGCTAACCATACCTGGTTTCTGCAGCCCCATGTCTGGTGAATTTAAGATTAAGCACAAGACGTTCTAGTTTTCTCACTGATTCACACATAAACCGTTTTAGTCAGACCTGGATATAGGGCTCAGCTATTACCATTATTCAGCTTCCCCCCATTTACATTTTAACACCGCTGGCTCCCTTGGTTTGCCAGCAGGGGTCAGTGTTTCAGAAAGCATGGATCCCCCCCCCCCTCTCCATTTGTTCCACTCCTCAAGCAGAAACTGTGTGTCTGAGCACTGCGGTACCTGGGCAAGTCGTTGGACGGACAGGGAGCTTTCGGATTCTTCAGGCTTCAAGGTTCCTGCTGGCTGCTCAGCACAAGCCTGTGATGTGAAGCCAAATGAGTGTGACAGCCCCAGTCTCCAGTTAGCTAAGGAACTGAACACCTGGTGTATAGATATGTACAGACTATATAGTATAAAATACAATTATTTACTGCAAACAAATAATAACCATCCATCTTCCAATTGTTTGGAAAGCTGCAAGGGGGTCTGGATCCCATCCAAGTAACATTTAAAACCATATTCTATTCCAATATAAAATCAGTACTCAATATAAAAGGCAAATCAGGCATTCAGATTTTAGAAATTAAATTTCTTTGCAATTGTCATAGTCTGTTACCAGGTTAAATATTATACTTGTTTTATATTATGAATATTAATACTATACATTAACTGCACCTTCATAATGCCTTCATGGAACATTCAGTGTGCCTTCATAATGTATTCATAATGCATTACTAGAACATTCATAAGAAGCATGTAAATTTATACCTTAACAGATTTAATATATAGTACATCAATAACAAACGTGATAAGATTACAATGCTTTTATGATCATTAACTTCATTTAACAAACATTATATGATTATTTTTATTAATATTTATTAATGTATATTGAAGCTGTTAAAGTGTACTTACATGCTGCTTATGAATGTTCTATGAATGCATTATGAAGGTGCAGTTAATGTGATGCATTACCACACGTTCTCTACACAATACACATTTTAGCTTTAAAAGGTACAGTACAGTGTAAAGTACAGTGAACACACTGTATTCTTAATTTCCAGTACTGCAGATTTTTCATCTGGGCTATTTCACGTAGCACCAGACCAGTAGTATGACACCAGAATGTAAATAGCTCCATCTAGTGGACACCAAGAGATCTTGACCTTGAGAAAGAAAGTGGAGCTGGGCGGAGAACTACTTCGAATTTAATTATAACACAGTAGTCACAAGAGAATGCTACTTTGAATTAAGTAGTCTCTAATATAAGAATATAAATAACTTGTCAGGTTAAAATACTACGGAGATGAACATTAAAAGCCCTTAACACAGGAACATTACAAGATAATGAAAAGCATGGTTGTCACATATTTTAAAGGTTTGGGGTTGAATCCCACTGTGTGTGTCTGTGTGTGTGGATTCCTCCCACACCCCAAAGACATGCAGTTAGGCTAACTGGCATCTCCAAAGTCTATGTGTGAACGGTAATGGACTGGCATCCTGTCCATGGTGTTTCCCAGCTTTTTGCACTATGCTCTCTATGATTAATGGATGCATTATTAAATGTGAATTTCATTAATCTCTCTTGATCGTGTGACAGTCACATAGGTGGTGCCCATACCAGTTAACCAAACTGAAACTGCACGACCGCCCGTGTTTGGATCTGAGTCATACCCCTGGCTGCTGCAGGCTGGGCCGTGGCTCTGGGTCGGCCCGTGGGCCGGTCTGGGCACTGCCGTTGGGCACGGGTGCGTCCTCCACTGGGACATGCTGCTTCAGGCAGGCGACAGCTGAGCTACACAGTTCCAGGGCCTCCTCCCGGCTGCTGCCCGCAAACTGCACCTGGAAGACACGGCCCTCGCCCTGTGGACACACGGCCCTGTCACTCGAGAGCTGATGGAAGGACACCACTAGGAACCTGCTCGTTCTCCAGTCAGCTGATAAGTGGGTATAGAATGAAGAAATCAATGCGATGCAAGTGCACCTCCTCGTGTGTACAACACGCGAGCTGTACTGTGCTAGTGTATGATTCTGAGCAAATAAGGCCGTTTTGGGAGAAATATGGCAAAATTGATCAAGGAAATATGATGAAAATATCAGTACTTGTGATATTTCATGTTATTTTTGGATAATAAATTATGAATGACGACGGACAGGGTGTGGAATGATGGCTGAGGACATGAAAGCCCAGATGGGACCTGCAGCAGAAGCCTTGAGTAAAATGCTCAAAATAACTTGTTCCAGTTAAATATGCAGCTGTAAAAACAGGTATAAAATGTAAGCCATATCAGATCCAATTATTAAGGAGGGGCGTGTCCTCTCGATGTGGTGAGGGGTCCCTTTGGGTGCACTGGATTCCTCTAGCAGACATGCACTTGCTAATTGGTGTCTCTAAATTGGTCATACTGGTATTATTGTGCATGTGTGTGTTTCTGGGTATGTGTGCCCTACAATGAACTGGCATTCCACCCAGGGTGTGCCCGAGCCTTGAGATAGGTGCCCTATCACTCTGAGCACAAGCAGTGCTTGAAACAGTCCTCACGATGCAAGCCCACCAAATCACCAAAACAACGTGTACAATACTGATATAAGGATCTGCAAGATCCAGACTGAGATCAGCTGGTGTGGTGCTGCCTTGAGGTCCGGAAAAGCTGAAAACAATGATTTGTGAGACGGGGATCGCTGTAGGGTGGGATGACAGTTCGCCGTCACAGTGCTGTCGCCATGCATAGAGAATGCTGCGAGCAATGACTCAGCACTCGCTTGGAATTAAAGGGGCACCCCACCAAAATTAATATGCCACATGTTCAGCAAATGAGAACAATTAGAAGAGTCCCCGGCTGGCTCTGGAGGGCTGCTCTTGGCGTGACAGTGGTAAATGTTCCTGCATTTATTTATCTGAGCTTCAGGCTTCACTTAGTTTGGCGGCATTGCCTCCCTAAGAAAACCCAGGTTATCAACACATCTTTAGAATAACAAAAGCTGCCACTACAGAATGTGAAGCAACATTGACGTAAGCAAAGTCGGACAATTTCTCTCACAGTGAAGCGAGGTGCCCTTTTGGTCACAGTTTGAACTCTGTTCATCAGACGCCGACACTTACAGGTTGTTTAGTTTTCATTCCAGTCTTTATTCCAAAAATCGATGGCGTTACAAAAGCCAAAGACGAACTCGTAAAACAGGGAGAAAAAAAAATGTGCTTGGCAAACTTTAGTTTTCTTGTTGAAGAACAACTGCAGCCATTAAAAAGATCGATGGCGTTCTCAGACAGACCATGATCAATGACATGTAACTGCGTGGGGTGCAGTGAAGCAAATAAGCAAAAAGAAAAACGTAGAGAAACAAGAAAACACAACTAAAAAAAACTTCACAGATCAATTACTTGAAAGATGAAATGAATGGTTCATTGTCTGAAAAGGATGCAGTAAGGCACAGTGAGCCTTTGCAAAAGAAGCCTTCCTGACTGGTCCTGAGGATACATTTTTCTGCTGCCCTTTGAAGATCACTGTATCCCCAAATATACAGCATCATTTCAATATTTTTGTCCCTCTTTACCCCCCCTACACAGTAAACAAAGAAATAAAAGTTGCAGCAGTAACAAAGGTAAAACACTGTAACTGCATATCGGACCAAAATTGAACCGAATCAGGTGTCTTAGGCTGTGTTTTATCTCATGACTCAATAACTTAGTGCAACTATGCTCAGTTTTGAAGAAAACACTATCATTTTCCAACCTGCTACACGTACGGGTGGAGAATCAAAAACTCTTTAAGCCCATATCTGCCGTTTTAGCGTCAGCTTACTTACTGTGTTTTGCCTTTGCAGGGTAGCACTGAGAGTGCCTATTTGCACTGATGTTCCCATCTCAGCCCTTACTGGCGCCTGGGTATCTCCTGAATGACAGCCCTTACCGTACCAGTGGGGCACTCCCCCTGCTTTACACTCAGCTGTCCATGACACCCCCCGCATTTAAAAAAATACTTGCTGGGAAGCATCAGGGAGCAGAACAGGCAGCGATTTGTCACAGCGCGGTGCCGCACGGGGGAGCTGGTGCCGAGCGGAGGGGCGGGAGCTGCCTGTGGCCCACGGGTGCCTGCTGGGTCCTGGAGGGGCCCCTTCTGTAGCAGTCATTGCAGATAACCTCACCAACTTAATCCTACCCCCCACAATCAGCGGGTGGACTGGCTCAGATGCAAACAGAGCTCTCAAAGATATTTTAAAGGCCCAGCCCATTTGAAATAGTGATTCTCCGGCATTTGTATCTTGTGTATGTATACATAAAATGTTTGTATGTATGCATATATAAAATGCCAATGCAAATGTTACTGGGAATATTTCATGATGACTTCTATCACATACAGAAAACTGGAATGGAGACTGCAAGAAATTGATTATTCATATTATTACTGTTGAGAAAAATGTAATGAGCAGGCTGACAGGGACATGAACGTCCAGGCCTGACGTCCAGTAGGCTACATGTTCAAACAGACCATCAGAGCACACCAGCGTGCATGGCCACTACGCAGGGACGTGAGGATGGCCAGAGCCGGGCCTGGTACTGACCTTGGCCGTCATCCGAAACAGCAAGACATCTGTCTTCCGCAGCACCTTCAGGAAGCTGGATGCGTTGAGTAAGGAGAAACCCTCCTTAGGGAGAAATGGTCCACAAACATTCAGGTGAGCTTCTCAGCACCCAAACCAGCATCTCCCCCGGTTCCCTTTCTTTTTAAATTGATTTAGTAACAAATATTTTTTGCCTATTTAGTTGCTTAAAATCAAACATGACCACATATAAACAAGATGTCCCATCTGCCCTAGCCACAGAAAATGTCTGGTGGTAACAATATTGAAAAGCTTGTAACACAGTAATTTAACTGGCTTTCAGGTGGTGTGACACAAATACATCCAGCAGGGGGCTCCACCACCTCAGCTAAATATATAAAAAGGCAGCAGCAGAGCTACTTTTGTAAACCAACATATATGATGTGTTGGAATATTATCTATAATAAATCTGTGTATGGTTAAGTATTAATCAGCTGACTGACTCTGACCTTGCACCACAGTTCATGTAGAAGAATCGTAAAAGGCTAATTTCTTGGGTATATATGAATCCCGACCAAACATGTCTCTCTGATACCATAATAATCTTTATATTAATCTAGGTGTCAGTCAGTGCTCCAACTAATGACAAAAGAACAGCATTAAACCAATTCATATTCTGAAAACAGTTACAAATATACATGACACTTTAGAAAAGAAAGTCTAAAAAGCAAACAAGATGGTGAATAAAACAGTGTCAAAAGACAATGCATACTGAAGAGCAGAATATTAGTACAGAAAAATGCTGGGCTTATGGTCAGTACTTCTAGTATGTCCCTTAATGGGCCATTTTGTTATGAAGGGCGCACTAACAATAGGGACATTTGCAAGGGCAGAAAATATCTTTCCTTCTATGGTATGAAACCAGATTAAATATGTAAACTGTGTTGTGAGTGTTTCAACACACTGGCCCTCTCAGTGTTGCAGATAAGTCCTAAAAAAGTGCTGTGCTAATTCTGTCTGTCGGCAATGAAAATGAGAGATGAAACAGGCTGTTTTGCTGACAAATTTGACCAGGTGCAGCAGCAATCTCTCCCGGCACGGAAAAGCAGCCGTACGTTTGGGGGGGACCAGGATACTTTAAGGCCGTTACGTTTATGCAGTGTCCCCTCACGGGACGCGGCCACCCCAGCAAAGCAATGCATAACAAACACAGCGCTCACATATTTTAGTGGCTGTCTTGTTCAGACAACTGCATGGTCAATAACCAGCACTGAAAAGCGCGTTAGCCTGCGCTCAGAATTTATGGCATGCCATTACTTTAGATTTATATGCAACGGCTTATGCGAATCACTGGTCAAACCTAGTTTACTGCTTTTTTTTAATTCTCACCGCCACCAGTACAGCTAGGAATAAATCACAGAATGGGTCACAGAGTAGGACCCTTTCTTTTTATAAGATTTCCTACACAAACATTACATCACAGAATTTTGGGACTCAAAACTGCATAACCCCCTACCACCCAAGGAGATGTTTCTGAGAGGATCAGATGATTCTTCATTAGATACTAAATATCATATCATGAATAACATGACATTTTAAAAACTACAGGACTGTAAGTCACTACTGGCTGGGGGAAACAGTTCAGTCTGTTGTGTAATGATAGTCTCTCCTAATCCTTCTTGGCTTTTCCCCTCAGAAATCCCTCAAGATACTGAACAGTCTATGGAGACGTGGTCATGCGAGTTTCCTCTCCTAAACCCTTTGGCTCTATTCACTATTATTAAGATTCAGGGCACATTTCTGTTGTAAACTGGCACCAGCTCTCTTAAAACCACTGTATGAAGTCCTGGTTCACTGCCTAGCTGGGCACCATGTCTGTCAGCACTGGCTAGCAAGTCTGCTGCAAACACAAACTCACTACAACAGCTGTCCTGGCTCTGTTCTCATCTATTGTCGGTCATATATCGGAAGCACTCAGCTGTGCAGGAGGTGGGGGGGGGGGGGGGGGGGGGGGGGGGGGGGGTGCTGACGAGGGGATTATTCAGCACCATATCTCTTGGAGACCAACAGCAGAGCCAAGATTCTAAGATTCAAGATTTTTGTTCTTTAGTTGCTGCTGAATAATTGCATCTACATTATGAGAAATTCAAAAATAATAACCTGTGCCGATACAGATCCATTACAACAGTGACTTTAAAGTCAGTCAAAAAGAACGGTAAAAAAAATTTATATGATTATATATATGCATAATGCATAAATAAGTACAAATGATAATTCTCTGCAATGAGTAAACAAAACCCTGTTATGTGTCATGCCATTATTCAGCCCAAGTTTATCACGGTCTACCAAAGACTCATGAACCGTAAACAAAGCAAGATTCAAACAAACAAATTCCATAGAATGTAGCCAGAAAAAAAGTCACATTCACTCTGCAAGAGATTAACATCCATAATTTTTCAAGCCTACCATTCTTTTTTCCAAGACACACAAACAGTTGTAATTAAGCGATTACCCGTACATCTCCGTATTTATACAGTTAGTATCTGTGTGTGAATTTGCTGAATGGCTGTTTATATTCTGGACTTGTGTCTGAATTTTATGGAACCCAACACAGCAGTGATAGGCAGGTGTGTGCTGTTAGTCACCAAATGGAAACCAATAAAATAACCACTTATAACAGACAGACCATAAACACACCCGCTGTGTGTATGTGTGTACAAAGGGAGAGCACCTCTATGTGAAATGTATAATTGACAGAAAATAACTGTCTTACCAACAGCTCTGGGCCCTGGGATACAAGCAGGTGTCCAGACTCCACTATGTTAAATACCAGTTGACCTGCACTTTCACTGTTCTCAAAGACCTGCAAAGCATGGGTTATTCTTGAAATTTAAAAGGTTTACAACTTGAGAAATATACTGAAAATCCAGTGATCCAGTATGTCAAAAGCAGCTGGAAGATGTATGAATGGATTTACTAAAAGTATATTTTTCCTAATATAAATTACAATACTGAAACATACATAACTGAGGGGAAAAAAACTTTTTGCAAAATTACAGTACAATGTGAGATCTTTTTTTTTTTTTATCATGCATACATTTCTAGCGAAATCCGTGCATTTTATTAACCTTTCCATTGTTGAGTATTGTATTTTATGTTATAAACATGCACTTAAAATTTATACAATACCGAATTTATGTTAATTGATTTATCAAAAAAGTGACAAGTCGTTGCAAAAAAGTGGACATTCAGATATTATGAGCACCAAATAATATAGTCTAAATGAAGCTATCATGATATATCCTCCTGAGACCCAAGGAAAAAAAGTGTACTTCAATTGTAGGTTATTTGTCTTTGGAGGAAATAAGACATCTTACAATTTAGATTTTTTCAAATTTATTCTTATTTTAATTTCACAGCATGTCCTTTTTAGTGCACAACAAGAATAAATATGTTTCCCAACATCAGTGAAAAAATAAATGCAAAAATACAATGTCCACTACAATGGACATAAATGAATATTTCGGGTCTCAGGAGGATATTACGCTTTTTGGAGATATATTTCCTGTTAAGATGCCCTAGGAAATCCTGGGCGGGAAAGGAAGGGAAGGGAAGTAACCAGCGAGGCGGCTAACAAGGTGAAGCTGACGACGTCTCAGATATTAAGTCTTTGCACCCACACCATCGTAACTTATTCAAGTAGTGAGACAGAAAAACTTTTCAAGCAGCACACTACACTAAGTGATGTTTAGCCTCTGATAATGTATCAGGCGTTAGCCGTTAGCTGCGTAGCCGCTGCCCACACCTTCCAGGAGGACCGGCCCTCGCTCTCCGCGGCGTTCCGCGCCAAACGTCCGTATCGCTTCAGCATCCAACAGGTCTTATTCATAGTTTTACTTCCCGCATCGCTTTTGCTTGAAAAATCTGTATTTTCAGTCATCTTTATAGTAAAACACTTATAGAGGATCTAACGGCATCCGCTAAGACTCACAGGCTCCTAACATCAAAGGAGAAAGTGACGCGCACGTGACTGTTCGTCAGTTAGCGTCAACCCGTATAGCGTAAAATCTTACGGCAAATCTATATTATTTTATTATAAACTAAAAATTAGCTACATGTGTAGTTTGCAAACCCTACAGGCTATTTACAAGTTTATAAAACTGTTACATGCATGTAAAATGCGTGTGCAGATTTGTCTGGAATTGAAAATCTCACGCCGCAGCCAGCTGACCAAAGATGGCAACCATGTAGAAGGACTTCTGCAAGGTTTTTAAAGGCAGCTTAATCTATAAAGGTCAATAAGTTTTAATCAGTTGAAGTTAATGTACATTCTATTTGGACCTGACAGAAAACCTGAATTTCTGAAGAATTAACAGAATTTACGAGTGCAGTGACGTTCACGGCAAAATTACAACTTACAACTTTGCGGCTATTTACTGATACATAACACAGCATGTGCTTTAATGCATTTACTTTTTCGAAGTATATTAAATTCATAAATATGGCGTAAATTAATTATGCCGCTGAAATGAAACGGCCAGAGATGAAGAAAGCATGGCCCCGTATGCTTGGGTTCAAATGACAGCAAGCGATACCCATACACTTTAACTAGTAAGTGTATCCTGACTTGCAGGAAATGTTTAATAAAAGCCGCTTATTAATGTGACTATATAATAGATAAACTCAAGCTCATCAAGGGATCAGAAATCGAGTCGTACTTTTTTATTTATGCAGAGAGCTCAAATAAACTATGTCCAACTATGTAAAAAAAATCTTGTGCATGTGTGTATGTTGCAGAATGTTACAAGAAATCCTTGTATCAATTTTGAACATACATACACAAGATGCTGTATATGGATAAATATGGAAAAGCAACTGCGTGGTCCTACTTAGGTGACTGTGGTTCGAGCAGGCGAAGTGGAATTAAGAAACATAATTCACTTACAAACAGCGCTGGCTGTCTCAGAACAGTTAACCGCGCGATTAAAATACGATGTTTTGAATCCAACCGAATAAGCCATGTGTATGTTATGAGAAAACATCACACTACTGTTGGTTTTTCGAACACGTTTATAAGAGGCTATATATGCTCTTCAAATATATGTCAGCGTGAATTATTGATGATTACCTAAAGGCAGCGGCAGAGATAATTGTAGGAGTACTCTCGCCAGGTTTTAAAAACGAGTTTCTGTTCAGGTCCTCTCTGCATCCACACCTTATTAACTTATTCAAGTGGTGAGACAAAAACCATAGAGTGGAGTTGAAACTTTTAACATGCCAGCAATTTTTGTATATAAAACAGCATCGTACCAATCGATCGTACCAAAACAAAGTACTTTCACGCAGTGTAGTTAAATGTTACATCGATCAGTGAGTAAGCTAAGCAGCATTATATCCACCGCAGCCACTTTTGTAGGTAACGCTGGAGCAACATTAACGAAGCTTGCCTGCGTAAATGCACCCGCGGAAAAAAGGATGCAGAGCAATAATTGTCGCAATAGGACGCGGGATGCGCATTAGCCCTTTAAAAGCCCTTACTGGTGCTCTAGGTGGGCTGAGCTTATTTGCAGTTCTTGCTCCTATGGCAACCCAATAGATCAGTTACATGAATATTCACAGTACATCAGTACGACTGTAACGATTGTTGGGTGATGTCAGTGGTCCAAAATTTGTTGGTGTGGTTTTGGGTATGATGCTTCCTTTATTATTGACCGCGGTCACCGGTTGTAAGGAGAGAGAGAGCATGCTTCGTTTTTAATGACATCCAGGTCTCAGCTCCGTCACCCAGCACGTTTCTCGCCAGGTACAGCTGAAGTGGCTTCATGTGTCTTGATGGTTTCGTGCACCACGGCTTTCATTCAGCATCCCGGTGCCTTGCGGACAGGACGGTGGGACCTGAAGCGCTCTGGGCTGCCTAAAGGTTTCCGAAAAGACGTAGGCTGTATAAAGCGTCAGGTAATGTGCGAGATCATCTGTGCTTCGCAAAAACGATCCGCGATCACGTGTATCAGCAGAAGCCTTTGAGGTCTGAGATAAGGTCCAAGCCGTGCCACGGAGCTGTACGATCCGTGGCAACAATATTAAGAGTAATACTCCTGTTTCTAATATTCTTGGCTCATCTGGCCATATCGGTGCCACAATGGACAGGTTGCATTCTTCCATGCGCAAAAGGCTGTACAGCTTACCGCAACACATTGGCCATAAAGCTTCGGTCATGGGCGAGGGGGACGACGGCGACAAGGACACCCGGAGGAAGAGTCTACGGATGAAGCCCTTGCCTTCGCCTTCCTCCGAGGGAGGCTGCAAAGGCATTGGGGACACCAAAAGCGGCGACTGCGTGATCATGGAGACGGACATTGGAAAGCCCACCAAGACCAGCTCGAACGGAGACTGTAGAAGGTTCAAAGGCAGCCTGTCATCTATAACCAGTCGGCACGTCCACGACTCGGACTCGGCGGAGGAGAGACGCCTTATCACCGAAGGGGACATCACCCCTAGTGAGGAGCAGCCCCCCGGACCACTGGATAGCGGGGCAGACTTAGGGGCGCAAGGCGGCGGCGGAACCCCGCATTCTGCTCCCGATCAGCAGCCCGGGTTCATAAAGTTGGATAGCATTGATCAAATTTCGCCGGACGATGAGAGGTTGTATCAAGCAGGCTTCATTCACCGGCAGCTGGGAGCGATGCTCCAGCCGGGAGTGAACAAGTTCTCCCTGAGGATGTTTGGCAGCGAAAAGGCGGTCGAGCGCGAACAAGAGCGGGTTAAATCCGCCGGATTTTGGATAATCCACCCATATAGTGATTTCAGGTAACTTGGCATACGTGGCTGTCCAGTCAGCAGTGTGTGCATGTGTGTCGGTGATTTGTGGGTGCTCTGATGAAGGTAATTAATTCAGCGGAGTGCATCTGTCCTGGGCCATGTGAGCCGCCACTTGTGCTGGTTCCGCTGGAGCTCTTGATTAACTAGGCTTGATGGAGCTGTTAATTGAATATCCGTCTGGATTTGACATCTTTCACGGTTATCTGAAACAACTTTATTGTGAAATATTTTAGTTGACTTTTGCGACAATCTTATGACCCCCCCCCCGGTAGGAAGATGGATGTATCAGTCTGTGAAAGTACTGATACTTCTTTTCAAATTCAATTTAATCTATATTACTGAACAATTCTGCAATATCAATACTATAAATGGAGATATACATGCAGAATATGTTGTTAAATTAATTATTGCTATAATTATTCGTTTTCGGTTGAGTGATTGCACCAAACTAAGGCAGCCTTGTAAATGTAGTACTCATATATTTGCATGCCCATTTTTGTTTTCTTGGTAAAATCTTTGATTTTTCGATTTCAATTCACATACCACATCAATTAAATTCTTTGGCAACACTCTTGAGTTAAATACCAGCTAAAAAACGCACACAGTAACTAATCTGTACTCTAGGTCCCCGGAACCGAAATCGAGAAGCGCAGATAACCGAATCCATCTACGCCTCGGTCTTCAACACGAATAACACGAAGATGATCGTTTCCTGTTCCTGCATATGAAATAAGCACTAACGCACATTTAGATGCACATTTTATTTAGTTAAAACACGAGTTAAACTAACGAAAAGACTCGCGAGGGTTAAGTCAATATTTTGCATCATTTTTAGATAACTGCTTCAACGGCACATTCATAAACAGCAACTGGTTGTGCACGCAATGCTTTAAAAGGACAATTTTATAGCTGGTTTGAAAGATGTTTTAGACAATTTATGTGAGACAGAAATTCTGATGTGTTATCTGTCATTCTTCTAATTGGTCGGTCACGTTTTTCCGACTGGGGTGAATCATCCATGCACTTAATACAGTACCAGATAATGTCCACATTAATCACTGTCCTCCGTGTCCTGAAAATAAATAAATAAAAATAGTTTTTCAATAATCAGTTTACAGTGCTGCAAAATTGTTTCTTTCTTTATCAGTCTTTATAGTAGGCCTACGCTCTCAGAAAAAGCGTAAAAATTTGTACCTTTACAATTTTAATTTGCTTATTACTGGGGCTGTACCCTCAAGGGTCTGCCAGTTGTAACCTTAGCTGTAGGTAATTGTACCTTTTAAGGTACAGAAATGGACTCTGATGAACATTTCTATACCTTGTATGGTACATTAATGCTGTTTGTACCTTTGGGATGTTCCACAGAGTCAATATCTGTACCTTAAAATGTACAATTACAAAGGTACAGCCCCGGTAACAAGCAAAGGTAGAATTTTTTACCATTTTTTCTCAGAGTGTACGAGGTATGTTTTTGTTTATGATCTTGGTTCAAAATTGTTCTTGTATAACAATTCACACCTCAATTTTCTTTACAAATTGCCCCCTTTAAATGTAGAAAACGTGGCTTGACACTGACATCTTACACTTGGAAATATCTGAACAATTTGAGCACGTGGATGAAGCCTCACGGAACATGCAGAACGGAAGCTGGGATGCTGCAGTGCTGGTATCTGGGTAGCGGAGGGCTGAGGGTGTGCTACCTTCTCGCAGCTGGAGAGTAATTTGGGGGGAGGCAATGCACAGAACCAATGTCCCCTGGGCTGATGGCTTTCTAATGACTCCGGTCACCAGGGTTTTGAAAGACCTCATTGGTATTTTGACACACAAGTTAAATATCTTATTTTTGAAACAGAATAATAAGCAGTGTTGATGTACAGTAATAAAAATATCTAATAGGCACCCATAAAATCTAGCCCTGCAAATATAAAGAATTACAGCCCGTACTGGAATTATACCGTGTGGTTTGAGATAGATCCTCACCTTGTACGTTTGCAAAAGATGACTGGATTTCATGCAAGCATGAGTTGGTTTGCCTGGATTTAAAAACAAAAAACTTTCTCACTGTCATTACATGCAGCATTTCTTTTACATTGAAAAAGAATGTTGCTTAAGTGTTGTTAGTAATACTTTTGGAAAGCCATTTCATTGGGGGATGGCTGTGGGCTAACCTCTGTTTTATGATCTTTACATGAGTCGAGGCTATTCATCAAGCGTTACTCTGTTTCTTTGGTTAAATATAGCCGCACTGGCATTTTTAGCAGACACTGCGCTGTCTGGAAGCCACTGAGACTTTTTAGTCGCACTTTATGTATTGATCTTCTGTAGCGTTTAAAACGTACCGGCTTATCCTGAGAATGTGGGTTATTAATAATGCTGTTGGTATTAAAAATAACATGACGTATTATAAGCCATTTAGTACATTAACAGATTTATTTAAAACCAATGTCAAGTGTAGCTGGCTTCTTCAGCTGCTATAAATATCAGCTAGCGTTTTGAATGAAGTTATAAAGGAATTTAAGAGATTTATGATTTGGAGAGAATAATCTGTATTTTATTAAGGAGAGTAAAGAGCATTGGATTCAGCCTTAAGACTTTAGTACACTGTGCTGGCTTAATATGCTAACCATCACTGGCTTACATTGCTATTACATGAATGTATTGACTCATTACATGTGCATCATAGTGTTCATGATGATTATCAGTACAGCATTTTGGCCACACCAATATTGTGCGCTGGCATCCCATGCCCTGCCAGGACCTTGTTCAGGATAAGCTTCTGGATGGATGGATGGATGGATGAACAAACTCAAACGATAATATTCTTGTAAATGAGAGCAATCTGTTTGCAAATGAATAATACACATTTGTATGTTGGACTTTTAGTATTTATAGAATGCCAGCAATTTATGGCAGGAAAAAACAATGATCTTTCAAATGTGATTATAATAATTAAGAAACCAAAGACACAGTTTTAAATTATGCCTTTGGTGAACTGCCTGCAGTTTTATATCGTGGAGTCTTATACAAGTAGCAGGACTCTATTAAAATTGCATCTATTGTTTACTGGACAGACTCCATATCCTTTCATGTTTTTTTAATATAAAAATGTATTCACACATAACTCTAGTTAATTTTGGAGATACCGACTGCTACACAGTATACTGGGCTTCCGAACAAATAGCATTTACAGTTGAATATTATCTTGCTGATGCCTTTATGCGGAGCAAAGTATATGTCCAGTGTGGTGAAAATGCAGTACAGTGGAATATGAAAACTGAACAGAAACTCTGCAGCATTTTCTATTCAGGGTTTATTATGACGGAAGGATACACAGAAACGTTTGGGTCATTCAGACACAGAGGAACGATATCAGGGTGAAACACGTCCATGTGTGAAAGCTTCATAATGAACACAGAGCAGAAAAACCTTATTCAGCTAGAATTATCCTGCTTATTCTCTAACGATACCTTGACTCATCAGAGTTATACATTTCTGATACTGCATGAAGAGCTCAGTATTCTGTTATTTTAAATACGCAATATATTGAGTCTATAATCTTACTGTAGCAGTGCCGGGTAGGTGCACTGTTTGGCCAAAAGCATGTGAACACCAGCCTGTCCATCATCTGGGGGTATTAATATGAAGTTGGCCAATTGTTGCTGTAATAGCCTCTTCCCCTCTGGGAAAGCTTGCCATTAGGTCTTGGAACCTTGCTGGTGGGATTTACTGCCTTTCAGCCTGGGTATTGATGGCTGCACCCTTCTAAGGCTGCATCGGAAGACCGAATGCGTCGCAGCGGCGCGACAAGCCGGTCGCATTTGAAAGACTCCCTCAAATGCTGTTTAGAAATGTCACTTTTGCCGAGTCGCAAAGGATCCACCCTGTGGATCCTTTGCAGCCTGACGTATCTCAAGATTCATTGTGCAGAAGTAAAGTGGGTATGCCCCAGCTATAGACAATGGGGGGGGGGTGCTTTGTGGCTTAAAGGTAAGGGTGGAAACAGCTGGTGACCGCCAGACCATCCCATTTGACGGCACTTTCCGTTAGACCTTCGAAGAACCCAGCTTACAAAGGCTACACCTTCCGACTGTGTGCTTAATTATACGCCTGCGTCAACAATGGGTGTGGCAGTCCCTCTCCTTGCATGTTTTTGCACTGTACCTATGCGCATTTTAAAACTGTTCAGCTAAGTAAGTCCGAATATGTGTTTTACGCCATATTCAACTGGATTTTTTCAATTGAATGGCAGCATCTTGCTTTGAGATTGTTCAACAATGCCAGCAGGATTGTGGAACACTGAGACAACATTGTTATCTCATCTGTATGACTCAAATGAACAAATCATTTGAACATCAAGTGTGATTCAGACACTTGGATTGATCCATATTATAGACTGAGATTAAGAGCATATTTCACAGTGGGGAACACACTTCTGGGTCACTTCCGATCCAGCGCTGTATCATGTAACGCTTGTATGTATAAAGTTATGATCTTGACACCTATAGCAATACTTCCGATAGCAGAAATGCTACACTAATTTTATTTAAATGAATGATTTTATGAAGAACTTATAGCAAAATATTTCTGCCATTTATGCTTGCTTTGTTCAGTGTCAGATACACAGACAAGGAAATTTCAGAGTAAATGCATAATTCCCCTGATTTCCAAAAATTTGCTTTGTTTGCTTGCCTAATGAAGAGATGTTTGTTTTCTGATTTCTGTTTTGTCAGTCCTTTGAGAATACAGTGGAAGCGTCTGGAAAATGTCAGTATTTTGTCAAATCTCAATACTGTTCCATGTGTTGCTCTATTTCATATCATGACCTGAAGTGTTTAACGTGTGTACACAGTATTCCTAATCCCCCTGTTTATAAACCATTGGCCCTTTCCATTTTTGAATCCTCCGCTTCCCAAGAGTCTATGGTGCTACAAAAAGGCAAACAGTGCTGTAGATTAAGGGTCCTTAATTAGTGGCCTACAAATATCCAG